GGAATAAGCAGCACCTCCCAAAACGTCATCGGGAAGGTCAGACAGCCCGGCTACACGTCGTCTTGGGCAAAGCAGCAGCTGCTCCAGACAAATGATTGTCTTGGCTTGATGCTGTGCAAGTGTGGGCAAGCAAAACAATGGAACCGACCATTGACCTATAGTACGACACGATCACCTCTACACCTTTCAGCCGGCAGTCAAAAGCGATCAAACCGTAAGGTTGCAACAGTCATCCGAAACCAATTGTTTCCGCGCCAAGCTGTGGTCCCTAAAAACTGTGAAAGCAAGCAGCAACCCCTCAAGCGTTGTACAACTTAATGTTATACGTATGAAAAAGAACTTAGCTAATACTAAACTTTTAGGGCCCAATGCCCTAACGAGACAACACAAGCAGCCGACCTCTTTCTAGACAAGGACCCATCCATCATCCAGCCAACCGATGCAACGCATTTGTTGTCAAACCAATTATTCCCTGCTGGCATTCTATAGTTCATATCGGAAACACGAATTACCGAAACGAACCCTCACGAAGCATGTGCGCTAGTATGGATCATGTAACCCACACACGCCCTGGCAGGTTAAAAAGCTCCACATGAGTCGGGTGCAAGTTGCAAGATCGTGGTGCAAGAGCCACAGCAAGAACCGTTGCAGAGCCCGTTAGGGGCGAATTACTTCAATTAACACGGCCAGATTTCAAACAAAGCCGAATATTGGGTAATCGGTGCCAACACAGCAACAGCAAGCAAAAATGGCGACAAGAACATCTAATCAGACTAACGACATCCCTGCACAACGCAAAAAACCTACAATGACTATATGATATCTTGGTCAAAACGTTTATGTCTTGAAACACCTGCTATTGTTAACAATGGCCATCACCACTTACTTCGCAATCATCAAGTTGACATGGCCGCAACCAGGACCACCACCACCACCACCTCCCTTCAAGGCACCCAACAGACTTCACAGCAACAAAATCACCCGATTGACAGCGTCATCACTACCGTAGACGGCTTTTCAAGTCGCTATGCCTAACATCATGACCGGCAGCTTCATCAACAAAACCGCATCATCAACAGCAGCATGCGTATGACTACTGGTATTACGTCTTTCTTCCTCGCCATCTTCACCTCAACATGCATCATCATCGTCTCCATCCCCGTCATCGTCGGCGTTCGGTTTGGGGAGTTTCCGAACAAAGGGGACCCTGAATAGGACCCTAGAAGTAGGATCTTCATTGTAAGGACCCCAAAACAAGGTACCCCTGAATTTTCGGAAGCTCCAAGTTCATTCTGACCATGGCAGGGTACTCACTATCGTCAGTACTTTCAACAGCAGCAGCTTCAGACGGTTTGGTGGTCAGCTTTTCAGGTGACATCGGCCGTTATAAGAGCATAATGCTGACCACCACCACCGCCACCGCCATCATTGCAGTCGTAAACTCACGGCGGGAAATGGCAATAAGACATCACGCAGTAGAGTGATGAGTGTACTACTGCTGTTCTGCTTGCACTGATGCTCGGGGCCCCTTCCTCCATCCACCAGCACCATCACCACTTGTGCCACTACCACCACGGTGACGACAGAGACATGAAAGCCTTGCGAAACCTACAAAATCCTGGGTTCTTGCCATCATAGGGATCTCTTGTATATAAAAGGGTTTCCTTACTACGGTAACTTATATTGGATCCCGTAACAAGAACCCAAAATCCCCACCAAATCATGTAAGATTCACCGTCCTATCCACAAACACTAAATCCTAACCGCCTCAAGGGGTCCACGTACACACAATGCTCTATACTTAGGCCTTGATAGCTACTTTAAGGCCAAAGCAAAGCCCTCTAGGTTCCCCAATAAACCCATAATTCGGGTTTAGGGTTTAGGGTTTAGGGTACCCCATA